CAAATATGTTCTATCAGTAGGCCTACTTGCAAGCGGACAAATGATTAGCCTACCAAATAATCACAGACAAATATTATCAAAAGTATTTCTGGTAGACTGTGAGTAATATTACCTAACCAATCTGACGCAGATGCAGTTGTTGAACTTTTTTGATATAACTGTCTATAAAATGTCAGACGCTGTCCTCTTCATCAACTTCAATGACATATGTGACCCTGGACCACAAAACCAGTCATAATTTTCTGAATAAATAAGCTTTCCGTTGATGTATGTTTTGTTAGAATAGGACAATATTTGGCCGAGATACAGCTAGCCTATTTGAAAATCTGGAATCTGAGGGTGCAAAAAAATCTAAATATTGAGAAAATCGCTTTTAAAGTTGTCCAAATGAAGTCCTAAGTAATGGGTGTTACTAATCAAAAATTAAGTTTTGATATATTTACGTTAGGAAATTTAGCCTACCAAATATCTTCATGGAACATGATCTTTACTTAATATCCTAATGATTTTTAGCATAAAAGTAAAATCTATCATTTTGACCCACAGTGTTTGCTTGGCTATTGCTACAAATGAACCTATGTGACTTAAGACTGGTTTTGTGGTCCAGAGTCACACATAGGCTAGTTATAAGCTTTTATAAAAAAAGCTGTTTATTCATTGTAAAGTAAGAGCTCACGGCTCAGACAAACAAATCTTCTGTCAGACGCAGTTGAAGATAAGTGCCTGAGAATAACGCGTTGTTCTGGTTCAGTATTTGCTGTCAGATGAGACTGTGTTGTCAGTCTTTCAGTGTCATTATTCTATTACTGTTTATGGTACTCGTGATAATACAGCCTTGGGGATCATTATAGACATGCAAAAACCAATCTGGGATTTTACCAATCCCAAACATTTGAACAATAGTGTACATTTTGGCAATACCAAGGTTTCTGGACATATATCTTGGTATTCGACAATGTTCTTTCTTTCTAACTGTGAAGCACCATGTAAACACTTTTGTAAACATTCAGTACCATGGTATATATCCAAATATCACCACCATCACTACATTTGCAGTACTGCCAAACTATTTAATTCTAAGAAATACATTTGAACTAATGTTCAGGCTTCCTCAGAAAACAACAAGAGTTCAGAGCAAAAGTAAAGTGTTTGGCCAAAATCAATGGAAACTTGATTTGGTTTTTTGTTCATCTGTAGATTAATAACTATTCCTGATGGATCTTTACCGCTTGTTGGAAGATATTTCACCCTCATTGGCTGTTTCCACGTCTGTTGGCCTGTGTACAATGTATTGCCACTAGATTGTCTGTTATGTTCTGATTCAATGAATCTTGTAATTGTATTGAGTAACATTAAATCTGTTAAAGCTGGCACATAGCTGCATCATAATAACCAAGCAAATGTGACATTTCCTGTTTGATTGAACTAAAACAAGAACCAGAAAGGAAACTACATTGACCTCTGATCACAGATATTATTTATTTTGTAAGTTGTAGTGTATTACATCCAAGCACGATCCTTCAGATGTGATGTGTATTCATCAGTCTGTGACAAGTGAAGCCTATTGCTCCTAATGAAGTTCAGCTGACTGTGAAAAGCCTGTTCACGCCACGAAGTCTAGCCTCAAACCTAGTTGTTGAGACCTCCCTCACAATACTCATGTCCTAATGTGAGCGAGTTGCATTTTAAATGCATAGAACAGTTGTGTGTGAATTACAGTAAGTTGTGGAATTAGCCCACAAAGTTTATTTTGCCAGCTTGTGGGGGATATTTGATGTGCAAATCCCAATGTCAAATACACGCATTCAGCTCTTTCATCTTGGAAGGCAAATACACAATTAAAATGTGTGAATGTGTAACAATCACGTGTTAATCGGCTCATAATCACTTGGGTGTTAAACAAAGTTAGAGGAAATCCCCCAAATTAAAGGGTTAGTTCACCTAAACAAATCGAATTTCCTTATAACGAGATCTTCACTGGGACAGATTTGGAGAAATTTAGCATTACATCACTTGCTCACCAATGGATCCTCTGCAGTGAAGGCCTTCAAAATGAATCAAAGCTGATAAAAACATCACAATAAATCCATCATTTAGGCATTTTAAACTTGAAACCCTTGTTTCTGACTAAAATAGTCCTCATCCATAGCCATATCCATCCATAGTCCATAATCTATAATAATGCTTCGTGCAGTGAAAAAGTCCATCCCCTGTTGTCCTCTCACATCAAAGTCCACCAACATTTTTATAACTGTTTGGACTGTTTTTGCTTGTAAACAGTGCTTGATTTGTGTATATTTCTCTCCTGATTCAGACAAGACGACTTTTTTCCACTGGTGAAAGCAGTATTATGGATAGAGAACTCATATTGTAGCTGGAAGTTTAATGATGTAAGAAAACGTCTTAATGATGGATTTGTTTCTTACAAACACACAGCTTTTCACTTCACAAGATGTTAAACGATGGACTGGAGTGGTGTGGGTTACTTGTGGTTCATTGTGATGTTTATATCAGCTGTTTGGACTCTCATTCTGACGGCACCCATTCACTGCAGAGGATCCATTGGTGAGCAAGTGATGGAATGCTAAATTTCTCCAAATCTCTTCTGAGGAAGAATCAAACTTGTCTACATCTTGCATGACCTGAGGGTGAGTAAATTGTCAGCAAATATTTATTTTTGGATAACCTATTCCTTTAAGTTATGTAAGAAACCCTCTCATTCTGGTAGGTTAGTTCGGTTTACCAAATTCCAATGTCGTATCTGCAATCTACAGTCACATATGAGTTCAAATAGAGCTAAAAAACAGCATGTCTGTCAGGACTAGTGTTTGTCTGGTCCATGAGATCTTTCTGAACTAACACCGTAAACATTTCAGAGGTGTGACCTCACACCTTTGACTAGGAAATTACACAGTCTTCTTAGTTAAAACTGACATTTAAAATGAAACTAATACATCATTTGTGATCACATTCATTGAGCACATCGCTGAGAACTTTCGGATGACATTGCAACATATATCATTTACGTTGATATCGATGTATATATGTGTGTCTCTGTTGATGCAGGAGTCAAATACGACACTTCTGTTTGTGGGAACTGCAGTCACTGGTCTCGTCCACCACCATCATCTGCTTCATCACTACAGGAGCCCTAAGAAGGTGTCATTTTCAGACCCCTGAGGTCAAAGCTTCATGTCTAGCTATGAATGTAATCAGAATGGTGTTAATCATGTTAACATGAAGGAGCGGGTGTGATGTGATTGTGTTTTTCTCATGCTCCTCTCCTCACATATTTTGATGGAAGCCAGACTTACGGATGAACTAGGTCTTATCTGTCGGTAGAGCTACTGTGTTTGTTAGTCAGGGAATGATTTGGATTTGTAATCTGAGATGCAAACGTCTCTGACCTGAATCAAACATGTCATCAGCAGTAAATTAGCATTGACCTTGAAAAGCCCAGGGCCTCGGGAGTCTGAGATCATCAGGAAAATACACACAAACTCAAATAGAAGTTCTTCGTTATGGTTGGTCAGCTTCAGACAAAGTGCAGCGCTGAAGCCATTGGTGCATGTCTCAGAAATACTGTATACGATTGATTTGTGCATGCACTTAGCATTTCAACACTAGCTTTGTTCTGGGTAGCCGACAAATAACATGGGGATCAAGATTTATGTTCAAAGGTATTAATGGAAAGTGCTGTAACTGGTCATTATATGTTTTTCAGTATTTTTAGATCATATTTTAGCTTCACTTAAATAGTATTTTGTTGTGACAAATAAAAAATACATGTAATTTTAATCATTTAAAAAAATACTATGTAGTTGCTCTTCAAGTTTAGTATGTGAAATTGCAAGATGTATATGTTTAGACAGTATATACCATGTTCATCTAGTTACATCTATTTATAAATATGAATTTCGGGTTCAGTAATATATTTTTTATGTTTTTTTAAGTCTCTTATGTTCTACAAGGCAGCATTTATTTGATCAAAAACACAAAAATATAATAAAAAATTAATTCAATTGTTACAATTTAAAATAACTTTTATATTTGAATATATTGTAAACTGGTAGTGTATATATTAGGCATTTAGATTTATGTTCGAATGTATGTATGATTAAGGAAAAGTGCTATAGTTAGTATATAATTAGTATAATTACTATATATATACATAAAACATGTAGCCTACATTTTTTACATACTCTCAGTTTACTTTAATAGTCCTTCAGTATGGCAAATTAATAAAAAAAAGTATACATATAATTTTAATAATTTATTTTAAATATTAGTAGTTGCTCTTCAAATTTAGTGTTTTAATACTATATAAATTCACAATACCTTTCAGAGGTTTGGGGTCAATAATATTTTTTTATGTATTTTTAAAGAAGCCTCTTATGCTAATTTATGGTGATATATAGATTTATAGATATTTACTTTTTACACATTTACAATGTGCATCATTATGAAATGGATGTAAATTGTTGTTTACATATATCTGAATATAATTCATTTTAATTCTAATTATTACAATAAATACATTAATAAAATTCAGCATTGTTGCTGTTTGCAATTTTGTGTTTATAATTGTTCATTGCAATGGTGTGTATCATGAATCTATCTATCTGTCTGTCTGTCTATCTATCTATCTGTCTGTCTGTCTGTCTGTCTGTCTGTCTGTCTGTCTGTCTGTCTATCTATCTATCTATCTATCTATCTATCAATCTATCTATCTGTCTGTCTGTCTGTCTATCTATCTCTTATTTAAACTTGCAAGGGCTGTGTGCTCAGGCTGTTTCTGGTCCTCACACCTCACATCTGAGGCAGGAGAAGCTGCTCTTTCCCACACACCCCCTACTTCTGGTGTCACTTCTCCTCTCAAGTATTGACTGGGATCCTCTGAGGTGCCAACTCGCACCTCACGGAGGATATATTCAGGAGGAACACGGTCCACCAGCAACCACAACCTCATTCAGCAGAGACCTTCTAAACACTATACAGCCATGGATACCTCCAGCTCTTCTCTTCAGCTCCAAGACAGCGGTGCTTTCCTGTTTGACTGTGAGAAGCTTCTGGATCAGAGCTACGCTGTATCAGATGCGGGCTACTACAGCGCCTGCAGCAGCCTGTCTCCAGCCTCTTCCATAGATTCCTGCGGCTTCTCCCCTTCAGCTTACCCTTGTGGAGTGGGACAGGACATACCCCAGATCTTCCCACACTACAGCATCACCACCCAGGAGAAGAACAAGGTCCAGCCACCCAAGAGAACTGGGCGGCCAAGGTCAAAATTCCCTGGAGTGAAACGGCAAACCGCAAGTGAGCGGGAGAAGCTGAGGATGAGGGATCTGACCAAAGCTCTTCATCACCTCAGGACGTACCTGCCTCCGTCGGTGGCTCCTGTCGGAAAAACCTTGACCAAGATCGAGACGCTGCGGCTCACTATCCAGTACATCTCTTGCCTGTCTGCTCAGCTCGAACTTAGTGAAGACGAGGTTAATTGTGGAGCTCAGGCCGAGGTCAATGCTGCATCAACCATCTTTGACAGCTTCACTGCGACCCCTTCAGTTACTCAAAGTTTACCAGCTCAGCAGTTCCCATCTATGACCTGTTATCAGGTATGTACATTGTACTTCAACAGTGTTTATAGACTATTTTAAATAATATTTATTACTAAATATTTTGTAAATGTGTAGTAAATTTAGACTTCATAGGCAATATTGTACTTTAAGTGTTTTTTTAGGATAACAGTTTCTATTTTTCATTTTAATTTTTGTTAAAATGTTAGTATTTTTTTGTAATTTTATTAGTTTTTTTAATTAGTTAGATTTAGTTTATATTTAGGCACTTGTTTAAGTTTTTTTAAAACATTTATTTTTATTTAAAGTAAATTTTTTTAATGGATTTAATTTTTGTTTTAAAATTACTTAACTATAATAAACCTGGTTGTTATGCTGTGTTATATTTATAAAATAATTTTTAATAATAATAATTATTCAATTCTTTGCATTTTAAAAATTTTATTAAATGTAAAAAATATATATGTATCCTGTTCTTTTTCTTAATTTGATCTGTATTTTATTTTTCCAGACTCAGAATCCAGTCGAAGGCGAACTTCTATCCTTCCCAGCTCAGGACTGTTGGTTTCTTGAGCAACACAATTTCTTCCACGGAGAGTGCTGATCAAAGCAGAATGAAATGCACAATCTGAATGCAAATATTAATTTGTGCAATGTGTGTAAGATAATGAAAATGAAATACTTTATATGTTTGTACAGCTATTTATATTTTTCTATGTTTAAAAATATATTAATATTTATGAATTGTACATTTTCTGGCAAATAAAGCCTTGAAAAATCTTACATCAGGTTTGTGAGTTTTGTGTTTTAAACATTATATGCAAATGATTTCAATATTATTAAACAATGTACACCATAAAACAAATCATTAAGCAGCATCCTAACGAGGGACAGCTGTGATGGTCATTCCACGTTGTAATTCACACATTTAAGGAAACACCCCTGCAGAGCAAGCATTAATGTGGGCAGGAGAGTAAACTAACTCTCACAGGTGAGATCCTTTAATACCCCTCAGACTGTAAACAAAGCTCTGTGGGGCTCTTCTTCTGAAATGCAAGGTATGATGCCTCTTTCGAGCTAAATAGATAAACTGGTGTGTTTCCTAATATCTTAAATTCTCTTTTATCTTTTATCTCTATTCTCTTTATCACTCTGGACCCCTCACATCCAGCACACTCCCTCTTTGAACTGTTGCCATCTGGTCGACGCTACAGAGCTCTGAGCACCAGAACGGCCAGACACAGGAACAGTTTCTTCCCTCAGGCCATCCATCTCGTGAACACTTCACAATAACTGTGGAACACACACTATTTATTCACTCATACACTTATTTATCTAACACACACACTCAGTCTACATTTCAATTTGCACATAATATACCTGTACATACAACTGTCTATTGTTATATACCTGTACATACAATTGTCGATTTGTATATTTTTATTCCTTAGTTACTTGTTCTATTTTTCTATTTTTTATTATCTGTGTTTTTGTTCTGTCACTGTCATTCTGTTACACTGTGGAGCTTCTGTCATGAAAACAAATTCCTCGTATGTGTAAACATACCTGGCAATTAAAAAAAACTCACTCAAACTCATCTAGAGGAACTAGGAAAAGTTCGCCCAAAAACGAAAAATTGCTGAAAATTCCATTGGACCATCCAAGATATCCACTCCAGTCCATCAATTAACATCTTGTGAAGTGAAAATCTGTGTGTTTGTAAGAAACAAATCCATCATTAAGGCATTTGAACTTTAAACCATCGCTTCTGACCAAAACATGAGTCCATAATCCATAATAACGCTTCCTCCATTCTGACGGCACCCATTCGCTGCACAGGATCCATTGGTGAGCAAGTGATGTAATGCTCAATTTCTTCAAATCATCTACATCTTTGATGGCCTGAGGGTGAGTACATTTTCAGCAAATTTTACATTTTGGGTAAACTATTCCTTTAAGCACCCATGGTGCCAGCAACAAGGCAACATGATGAGAATCTCACGATCCCATGTCAGATTGCACAACAACACAAAAACCTTGCTGTGAGTTTATTAAAGATATTAATAGCACCATTAGTGACGTGAGTGACAGCTGTTCTTCATTGTCCATTTATAATATGTGGTAAAAGTCGTAAGAGTCTTAAAGGTGACAAGTCTGCAGCTGCTTTCAGACACCATAATAATGAATCACTTCCTCACACTCCCTTCCTCCCATTTGTGCAGTCTTGTCTACTTCCTCTGTTGAGCCCCTAATGACACAGAAGAATTAACCACGTTCATCTATAGTTACAGAAACAACAAGTCCTGTAATGTGCTGTTACATCTTGGCCTGTGTTACTGAAGGTCCATTCCACTGCGGATGCCATTAGTTCATCTTTCATAAGCAGTATGTGCAAAAGATGTTTTTTCCCCCATTAATTTCCTCCATAGGTATTTCACAAACAAACAAACAATTAGATTAAACATTACAAACATTTTGATTTGAGGTTGAATTTCATAAAAAGAAAATTTACTTTCTAAAGGCAATGAAACTACTTGAAGAACAATGAAGAAATGTTGAATCATGAATGACAGTACAATATAACTGGTGATTATAAACAAAATATATTTGATGTTTATTTGCAAAATATTTAAATGCATACAAATATATTTTTTGTCTGAGCAAAAGAAGATTGACATCAGAGTTTAAACAACTACGTAATAAAATACTGCAAATATTGTGTGATCTAATTGAATAATCAAAGGCACAGAACAGCTAATTATCAAACTTGATTATAAAATGTCTGTATTTTCAAAATATAAATATACAGTATGTAATACTTAGCAAGTATGAAAATATTACACACAAACGGTCATAATGAGAGTGTGTTTAGTCTGACTGTTCAATCAGCCAGTTCATCACTTGCGCTTTGTTTTCAGATATCCATTTAATGTTGGCTTTTGTTTGTTCAATGGCCCGCTCTATTGCCTGCATATCAAAAGTAAAACTGCTTGCGGCAATGTCCTCTTTAAATCGCTGCAACTGTGATTAGTCAAAGAAACCGAGAGAAAGAAAGGGATAAGTACACACATTTCCATATTTTCTATATATGTCATCATGTCTACCACACATCTCAAGAAAAAAAAGAAAAATAGAATCTTAAGCGCTGTTCCTGAAACCACGCCTTCTTTCTTTGCGTACACATTTGGGCGGCATTATGCTAATATTTCCACATAGTGACGGAGATATGTGGGGGCGTGTTAGAACGAGCCGTTTTAGGTAGGCGTGGCTGACTCTTAACTTTTATAAAGAATATGGCTTTGGATTTGAGACTTTAGTCTTTGCAACTTTACAGATCTTCTTTACGCACCAAGAGCTTGTAACATTTCAAAGAGAAAGGAAAAATTTAAATCGCATCATATGACCCCTTTAAGATAAAAAATAGTACATATTTGCTACTGTTTAAAAGTCACTAAGAGGTCACTAAGATTTTTGAGACCGTTTTATTCAGCAAAGATTAATTAAATTGATCAAAAGTTACAGTAAAGACATTTAAATGCTACAAAAGATTTCTATTTTGAATAGAAATGCTGTTCCTTTGAATTTTCTATTCAACAAAGAATCCTTGAAAAAATGTCTCACGGTTTCCAGAAAATAAATATTAAGCAGCACAACTGTTTTAAACATTAATAATAAGAAGAAATGTTACTTGAGCTGTACCATCATAGGAATAAATTACATTTTAAAATTTATTACAGTAGAAAATCATTATTTTTAATTGCAGTAGTATTTCACAATATTACTGCTTTTTAATCAAATAAACAGTATGCAGCCTTGTTGAATAATATGAGACTTTCAAAAACATCAGAAAAATCGTACAGACCCTAAACATTTAAACAGTAGTGTAATAATATATGTTTTGCATTTGCAAATACAAGCTCTTATTCAAATCAAATAGCACAAACCTGTTGCAGTTCAAATTCTGTGGAAAACTTTTTTGTGATGCCGTTAATCAGACCTCCAGAAAAGAAGGATCCATCATCAAAACTACGGAGATCCCATGATAGAAAATGTCAGTAGAGAATATAAATATACATTTAGAAACAAAGAAGGAAATACAGTACTTACTCCTTAGTTATATGCTCCCAGTTTGCTCTGACAAAGTCCCAAACCAACGGCTGCCCTATTACATTGTCTGCAATATACACAATGGCGTAGGTAATGTCCTGCTTCCTGATCAGGTTTGGATCTATTGAGTATTCCAGGTACCTTTAGAAAACAGAAGGCAAGTAAATGAGTATACGTTACATGTACGAGACTTAGTTAAATTAATAAAATTAATTAATTTAAAAAAACGGACATCCGTCATATAAAATATAAGCTACCATTCAAAAGTTTGGGTCAGTAAGATTTTTATTATATATATTTTTTAAAGAAGCTTATGCTCATCAAAGCTGCGTTTATTTGTTCATAAAATACAGTGAAGAGCTCCCATAAACATAAAAAAGAACTAGAAAGAAGCTAACTGAAATGACTTGAATTAAAAGAAAGAGATTAACTGAACTAAACAAAAATCAAGAGCTAAACTGGCTTGAACTGAATTCTGAGGGGAAATTAATTGAACTTAGCTCCCATAAACAGATTGAAAACAACTAAAAAGAAGTTAACTGAACTGACTTCAACTGAATTCTGACTTGAAATGTGCTGAATGGAAACTGATTAGCTGAACTAAACTAAAAATCAATGGTACAAATAGACCTTGAAAGAGATGAACTGGCTTGAACTGAATCACTGAACTCAACTGAATTTGCAGAATAAGAATTAAGAAATAAGAATAAAAAACTGGTATGAACAGAATTCAGATTTCAGGCTTAGAGAAGCATTTTCCATACGGGTTAGTGTCAGGGTTCTTCATCCACTGTCTGTACCACATTCTAGTGAGCTCTGAACATCCCTTCACTCCGGTTTTGCAGGCCATTGAGACTGCGTTAATTTGGTTGTATCTATAAACAGAAGTCACACAAACCATACAATATTTCAGCTTCCCTTTCCCATATATTCCCTTTTATCACAGTGAACATTGCTTATATTGCTATGAATTAAACTCTCATATGTTATGCAACCTCTCAGTTATAAGGAGAGTTTAAAGGGGTCATATATATTTTTTCGTTTTTTTTTCCACTGAGGTCCACTTAGTTTTTTAAACCCGTAATAACAGTAACAATTTTGCTTTTTATGATCATATTTCACCCCAGTCTCTGAACCTTACAATTAAACGAGCCATTTTTGCAGTTGTGCCTATATGACTTTTATGTAAACATCCTCTTTGCATATAAAATTACCTATGGGTTCGCACAAGCTCTTGACAGATTTTCCCACACTTTATTCATATTTACCACATTTGTCTTGTGTTTATGAATAGTATATATTTCCTCATTACCTCAGTGTGGTAAAGTTAATGTGTATATGTGGGTGGTCATTTCTTCTTGTGGTCTGTCTGACGTCAGTACAGAACGAGCTGCTTAGTTTCAATAAACGGTTCTTTTTCATAGTACTTTAACTCTTTTATATCCAAAAATCAACAACCGTTTGATTTATCATGATGTGACCCCTTTAAAATTCTAC